ACATAAACAACGGGTCAAGGTCTTATTATAAACCTGATTTAGCTTTCCTGAGTTTAAAAATCCCTTGTCATGCTGTGGGTCTCATTGTTCTCTTTGGGGTTCTCATCAAGAAGGAACTAATATAGACAAGGAAAGAAATGGTGAATATCTAGTATAAAGATAGCTATAACAATAAATTGTAATGGGGGAAGCTAATAGATTAAATCACAAGAAAACTAATGAGTTAGAGTAAAGACAAGTGAAAAAATACCAATGAACAGTACAAATAAGTTGTGCTTTTTATGTTTTTATTTTAAATTTTTTTAATATAGACAACTAGAAAGAGAGAAATATTAGGGTAAAAAAATACATATATAATGATAGATAGCGATTTTAATAATAATTAAAGAAGAATAGTAGAGAGAAAATGATGGGAATCAAGATGACCCCACATGTACCACATCAAGAGATCCATTACACATTCCAGGAGGTCCAGTCACGAGAGCTAGGAAGATGCGAGAAGCTTTAAATGGCCTTATTGAGCAGATTTGAGTTGATAACAACATGCAACAAGTAAATCGAAGCTTGGATGATTATCAAGGCATGTTAAACATCATTCAGATTCAAGAGAAGTTTAATTAAGGTCATTTATACACAGTTTGCATCAAAATCTCGCAATTCTGTCGCAATTTGTAACAAACTAATATTTCATGTTACTTTAGGTTACTTTCAGTGATTTTCATGTTTTTTGTATTATTTTGGGCTGAACATTCATTTATTTGAGACCCAATTCGTGGTTATTAGGATTAGGGCTTAGGGTGCTAGTTTCCTATTCTGATTAGAATTACTTTTCCCTATTTAAAGGGCTTATAACCCTAATTGGGGGAAGCTATTGAATCTGAGTTTTTGAGAGACTTTTCTCTTTGGTTCGTTTCAGAATTTTATAGAATTTATCAAGATTATTCTTGTGGCGTTCTAACCTGACTTATCATTCTCGTTCTTAATCGTTCGAGGGTGTGTCGTCAACCAAATTTATACCTCTGGTTCTTGTTGCATCATAGACAACGGGTCAAGGTTTTTACCTTTGGTTTTTTTTTTGTGATATAAACAACGGGTCAAAGTCTTATCATAAACCTGATTTAGTTTTCTTGGAGTTTAGAAATCCCTTGTCGTGTTGTGAATCTCATTGTTCTTTTTGGGGTTCTCATCAGCAAATGATAAGGGAAGAATAAATAATAAAAAAATAAATAACTAATCTATAGACACAGGGAGAGGGTGAATCTAGGGCAATAATAATAATAATAATAATAATAAGTTGAGTGAGAAGTTGAGAGATTGAGTCAAAAGAAAAATTAATAATGAAAGAAGTGAAGTAAAGGTAAGTGAAAAAAAAAAGTAGAAAATAATGGTAAGAAGTTATGCCACATGTTTTGGCCAAAAGCTTTTCAACTATTGACAATATATGAGAGAAAAATTAGGATAAAAAAGAGATGTATAATGATAAAACATAAGAGGGGAAGCTAAGAAAGGGAATGTTGTGGAGTATAATGATAGAATGTAAAAGGGGAAGCTAAAAAATAGAGTTTCAAGAAAAAGAATAATGGAAGTGAAGTAAAGGTAAGTGAATAGGTATTAAGAGAATAATATTAAAAGGTTGCATATTTTATGTTTTGATATAAAACTTTTCAAATAAAAATATGTTGAAATAGATAAAAAGGTCAAAAGTAAGATACATAATGATAGATTGAGATATATGGAATGGCAAAAAAAATGATAGAGATGAGAATATAATAAAAGAAAGAATACTATGTAGGGTAGAGAATCAAATATAATGATATAAAATTTAAGGGGAAAGCTAAGAGAGAGTCTCTCAACAAAAATTATTAAAAGGTGAACCAAAGGTAAGTAAAAAATTAAATACCAAGAGAATAATGCTAATAAGTTATACTTTTTATAAATTGGCTCAAAAACATTTCTAATATATATAAAATATAAAGGGAGAGAGAGGGCAAAATGGTTTAGAAAAGATATATAATGATAGAAAAATTGTACGAAGAATGATTAAGAAAAAAACAATGGAGAAGGGGTGATCAAAGATAAAGAATAATAAAAAAATAAATTACTAATATAGAGAGAGATTTACAAATATATTATATATATTTGTGTGTGTGTACATATGAAAAATTGTTTATTAGTTGGCCTATAAAACAATTAGGTAAAAAATACTTTAAAACTATATTGTTTTAATAAATTACATTAAAAAAAACTACAATACATACTTTTTAGAGTAAAAATAGTATTGTTTTGGTTGTTTCTTGTGACATTTTATTAAAAATGATATAGTTTTGAAGTGTTTTCTCATCTAATCTTTTACAAGTTTAGTTTACAAATAGTAATCTCATACATACACATAAGAAGATAATATGAGAAAATAAAGGTGAAATTAATGTACAAAAATATTAAAAGTATAAAATAATGTGAAAATATTAGTTTAAAAAGGAGAAAATATGAGAGATATATACACTTAACCAAGTTAAAATTAAAACCAACAACAATAACATAAGTTTACGGTGATAAAACAAATTAGAGAATTGAAGGTACTTTGTAAATAGACATAAAGAGAGATGATCTTGATGTAAGAAATTGAGAAAATTATAGTATGTAAATAGATAGGGATAAGAGGTAATTAAGGAAGAGATAATGAGATAAAGAAAGGATAACATCAAACAAATTATTAATATAAAAAGATAGAATAAATAGAGATGATTGAAAATTTTAATAAAATAATAAATTCTGAAAATTTTCTTTATTTTTTAAAATTAAATTGATTAAATTTGTACACTTAAATATTTTTTTATATCTATCATTCAAACCATTTTTAATGAATTAGTACATCTAAAATTACTAATTATAAAAAAAGTTCTAAAATAAATATTTGTAGTTAAGAGAAGTAAAGATTGAAATGTCTTGATAGCTTAAATATCAAAACTTATAAAATTGTTTAAATATTCTTAATAAATTCTTGTTGTCTGTTGATTCATTAATAACATTTTTTTTATCAATCTTGATATTTAAAATATTGAACTGTTTTGATTTTTCTCTATTCTTACTGTTAATTATTATTATAAATAATAAAAATCTAAAAAGATAAGAGTCTAATATTAATTAAAATTAATAAAAATATATAAAAAATTAATTAAAATTAATTAAAATTAATTAAAGATTATATATTTACGTTTTTACAGAAGGTACAAAATAGAAAAGGCTTGCAGGAAGACTGACTTCCTACACCGTCAAACAAAAGCCAAATTGAAACGGAGGGAACAGCTGGCAAGAAGAATGCCATGCATGAAGCATCTATACGAGCATAACATGTAAAAAAATCAACCAGTAAGAAGAAAACAGCAGGAAAACCGGTTTCTCATCCCATCCAAGTTTTACTAAACAAGCTGAAAGTTAAGTTACAGATGAAATAAAATAAAATAAAACAAAATGGGCCCAAGATACAGAACCAGGACAATTAGCTTGGGGGGGAAAAAATAATAAACGAAGGAATACCATTGAACAGCATCAAATAACGGCCTATCAAGGAAACTGGAATGAGCCTCCAATTTGGGTTGAACCAGATGGAGGATTGATTGCCACCCATAGGAGGGAGATGGTGATTGCTATGAGACCTGACCATACGAAAACAATGGTAGGTGTCCTCCCTCTTCTTCCCATAAGTCCCTTCGCAAAGGGATAGAGATGAGCTAGAACCCAGAAACTGAAGAAAACTCCACCTATTAAACGACTCCACTGCGGAAGAACGCTGTAAACTGTCCGGCTAAACCCAACTGCTATTGCTATTAAATTGACCATCATAATCGTAATTGGTGGTATCATCAGTGATGTCCACTTGACAATGTAAAGATCAGCAAATTCATCATCCATATCATCACCAGCTGATTTTGACGTCAAGGTGAAAGAAATCTCAATTCCAGCAATGACTTTCAATAGCCCCTGAAGCACAGCAGCAAGATGTGCACTGGTGCCTCCAATCAACCAAAACTGCTCATTTCTCCACCACTCCTCCAATTCAATGCCAGACCATTTGATTTCAAGGACAGCAAGCAAGCATAGGGTCACTGTGATGATGAGGAGGTAAGTGAGGAAAGTAACATTGAGGGTTTGAACAATGAACTGGCCAGAGAAGAGTGACAATGCAGGAAGGAAGCAGTAGACAATCAGGAAAATAGAAGTGAACGGATAGATTCCAACATTAAGATATGCAACCCTTTGCAGAAACTTCATTCTTGTACTGGCAAGGAGAGCATTATTGCGGGAGAAAAAAATTTCAACAGAACCAGTAGCCCACCGCAGGACTTGGTGAAGCCTATCAGTAAGATTGATTGGAGCAGTTCCACGGAAAGCATCACGTTTTGTAACGCAATAAACAGATTTCCATCCCCTGTTGTGCATTCTATACCCAGTGACAACATCTTCAGTAACAGAACCATAAATCCATCCAACACGCTGCCCCCATTCAGTTTTGTCCTCGTACCAGCAAGAGATGACGCTGATTGCCTCTGCAACAGTCGATGCATCAAGAAGGTCTCGGGGAATGGTAAGAGCACCAGGTGGACGTCCATTCTTAACAGCTGGGTGATCTGCAAGTGGACGACCTTGAAATTCAGCCACTGGAATAGAATCAATTAGAAATGCTGAGTTCCCAAATTTCTTAGGAAGCAAGGAGAGGTTCATCTCTTCATCATCAGAATCACCCATTCTTAGAGCTCGATTCTCCTCTGGAGTGTTTAGAACTGAGGAATGCTTCTTGCGACGACCAAATAAACAGCAACTACAGCAACCAGGGTGGTGTTCTTTTGATCGAGGCGGATCAAAGCCATAAAGGGCAATCCTTCGGAAGAGGCATCCTGTTCCAACATAGACTGGGCCCATAAGACCATCAAGAGCTCTCATATTCACATCAAAAAACACAGTGTTGTGATTAGCATATCGATCGGAAGGGTCAATACCCTCAAATCTTTGAGGGAACTGTACATAACAAATGCGGTCTCCTCCTCGATCCATCATGAAGCACATGCCTTCCCTCATAGCCTGAGAGTTGTAGATGTAGTGATCACAGTCAAGGTTGAGGATGAATGGGCCATTGGACATAATAGCAGAAGCTCGAACCAGGGCATTCATGGCACCTGCCTTCTTGTTGTGGTCATAACCTGGACGCTTCTCACGAGAAACATAGACAAGTAGTGGAAGACGGATATCAACATCAGTGAGGTCGATAAGCCCATCATCAGCACTTCCATGTAGTGGTTCATCACTTGGAGGTTTCAACATCACCTACATTAAAAAAAATGGGTGGCATTAATTTTCCCCTTTTTAAAAGGCAACATACTGTATGTTACATGCTTAACAATCAGTGTGAACTAATTATAGCATATAAATGATGAGTAATGATGCAGCGGACGAAAACGCGGGATGAAAATGGGGGACGACAAGTGATGCAAGATTTATGCATGTAGTGCAATTACTAATTTGACCCCCTTACATCACTTGTCATCCCCCATTTTCGTCCCGCGTTTTCGTCCGCTGCATCATTACTCATAAATGATATATTATGCTCTCTGATGATGTAACTAATTATTGCATGTAAATGAATATGCTCTAATAATGTAAACAATTCCAACTTGAGCAAATGAAAATATACATCTTCTGATAGTTTAACTACCTGAATAATACCAGCATGGTCACCCCGAGAGTGCTCAGGTGCTGGATGCAGCCAAGTCCCAGGCCAATGGGTACCATCAGCCATCCATGTTGCTTTTGGAATCTTCACACTCTCAACAGGTTCATCTTCCCTATTTTGTCTCTGAAGCTTCATTGCCTTTATTTCTTCTCGGGCATGATAAGCATCAGACCGACGCCGAATAGAGTCAGGCAAGCCATTTATACGAACCTTGAATTCATCATACTCACGCTTCACTCGCCGACGATCCTTAACAAAATCTGATTTTACTTTGTTCTTGTAAGGATCTCTCTTCAGATTGAAGTAAGATTCCGGATTTCTAGGCTCAATATCATGCTTACGGCAGAATGGAACCCATACATTAGCAAAGCTTGCTGCTTCTGCCATGGCTTCGAATGTTAGGAGTGCCCCTCCATCATCAGACACATAACAAGCAAGTTTCTCCACAGGGTATTCTGCAGCTAGAATTGACAATATTGTGTTTGCAGTGACCAGTGGTGGTTCTTTCTCTGGATCTGCAGTAGAGACAAACACATCTATGCCTGGAAGATCCGACTTCCCAGTGGGATTATTTGGGCTTGGTGTTTCAAATTTCTCCTTCAAGACATTAAGATCAGTTGAACGATTAACTGGGCAGAGCTTGGGCAGTTGGTCAAGCAACCATGAAAAGGCAAACCATATTTCACAAACCACAGACATTCCCCACAGCCATATTGCATCGTTGTTAGGATGCTTGACCCTCCAAGCCAAGAACAATGCAAGCACAACAACTCGCACAAAAATTAGAAGCCTGGAAGAACAAGTGAAACAAAAGCAAAGTGAAGGTAATGATAATCTTCTTAATATTGCGTGTCATTGATAGCTAATAATGCATGGTGTCTTGTCAAAAATAAAACTAAAACAGACTATGGAAAAGCTATGTTGGTTGAAGTAAATGGGACTTAGCAATTTTATATCTTCAATAGAATATGGAATTGGATAGAATAGGATATTCAATTGACCCCAATTTGAGACTAAGATTCAGTTCGGTTGAATTAGTTGGTAAATTACAAAATTCAAAGCAGGGTGGTATCATGCTTTTCTTTTTCCATTTTTTCCCTTTTTTATCCGTATCAGAGGTCTGGCATCCGTATTAACTTTGTAATTTTTTCTATTTAAGTATGCTAACTTTGTTGATTTCTAATTAAGGATGTAAATTTTCAACTTTTTCTATTTAAAGATATCAACTTTGTATTTTTTTTTTCTATTTAACCATTAATTGGATGGGGATGTTGACATGACAAAGACAAAGTTGGCATCCTTAAATAGAAAAAGTTGAAAGTTTACAACCTTAATTAGAAAACAACATAGTCCGCATCCTTAAATAGAAAAAATTTCAAAGTTAGCATCTTTATCTGTACCTTTTCTCCTATAATGGACATTAACAATTTGTATACTCTGGAAATTCAAATAAAGAGGAAAACTGCAAAAGAGGATGAAACTTAAAAACCTTTTAAGTGCTTAATAAATAAAAGAAAGAAAATTAATTACAAAAAAGTTGGACCTTGTTTAAAACTAAATTTATTTTACTGTTATGCAAACTGCAATGTATTAAGAACTGCAAAATTGATGTCATTAGGAAAATCCATCAAACTTAGAATTCAATAAAATAATAAAAATAATTGAAACAGCAGGACTGAAATCCAGGGATAGATAAAAATAAGGATATTCTTGTCAGCTTTTTAAATTTAGAAAGTAAATTGATTAGCAGGAGCATGGTCACCATGCCTCTTTTTCCAAGCAAATTGCATGATTGCAGGGGAAAGCGCTAAGACAGATTTAAATGAAAAGAAGTAAAAATAAATAAATAATTAAGAGAGCTAAACCATTTGAAATCATCTTATGTTTCTAGTGATATATGAAGGTTATGCTAAGATTCTTAAGAATGTGAATATGCATCACAGTTTGTATGCAACTTAGCATCACCTAATCTAGGCAAAATGGAATCTCAAAATTCAAAATGTAATGATTATAAATAGAGGCTATACCTATATGGGCTGAGTACAGCAGCTGGTATCTTTAACTTCCTAGTGAGTGGCCTCCATGGTTTATTTATGAACTCTTGTGGCTCAACAACTTCTTCATCTTTTCCATTTCCTAGATTCCCATCTTTTGGCCATATAGCATTGCCATAACCATAAGTTCCCCTGGTCTCAAATAACCAACGATTATGATCAAAATCCCCAGTTTGACTCCTCATGAGTACTGATTTGGTTGATTTCATCAAGGACAACCTCCTTTCCATTTTGGACATTCCACCAGGTGGAGGAAGTGGAAGTGGCCGTGCATTGTTATCCATAGCTACTTCATCCAGATCAGTATTCTTGTATGGCTCCTTACATCCAGGGCAAATCCCACCACCTGTTTTCACTGCATCAATATAACAATCACGACAAATTTTGAAATCACATTCACAAGGTAGGATATCCACACCACGCTCATCACTCATAACCTTAGCATCACACCCTGGAATTGAACATGAAGACCCTTTAGCACCAGCCATCTGAGGATGGATTGCCTCAGATTCAATCACCTTATCCATAAGATGAGCTCGAGTAACACTATTGAATCCACCAGTAAAGAGTGAATTTGATACATATTGCTCTTCAACCTTCTGGGACATAGATGCTGTCTCCATGGGTTGGTTGTCAGGGGTAGGAGGTATATGCACTGTATAGTTCATGAAATCACCACTACCAATCTCACTATCAAGATCATCCCTAGAGTAGCTAACATAACGACCTGAGGAAGTTCTACGGCTAAATGCCACAGCTGGAGGCAGTGGAGGCTTCTGTAAATCTGGTGAATCAGAAGAAACTGATAAAGAAGATCGGCTTGCTTTGAATGACTTTGACGCCATTCTTGAACACTACAGAGAACAATCCCTTGATCTTGGAATCCTAACATTTTTAAAGCCAAAATAACAGATTTACTACCAGTACAAATACATAGTATGACTGAAATTTTAAATACATCTGCAGATATTAAACATCACACGTGAAATCAGAAAAGCAAAACTAAAATTCCAAGGTCTGCTTGGTTACAATTATTAGTAGAGAAAGGAAATGCTTAAAATCACACATGATTTAAACATTTCAACCATTAAAAATGAAAATATAAATCATAACTTAATTGTCTTTTTCTTTCCCACATTTCTTCAACAACAAAACAGGTAGAAGTCTTTTCCGCTAAAATCGTCTGAAAGAGTTCAAATCAAGTCAAAATCTTTAAACACAAATCTAAGAACTAGCACTAAGACAAAAGATCCGTCACTAAGATCCCAATCTTTGTTCGATTGCTAGCTAAAGAAAAGTAAAACGGAAAAAAAAAATCAGATTTTTGCTAAAAACTTGCATCAAACAGCATAGCAGAGGAACTAGACTCCTTGAATAACTCGTTTTGACTACACCTTCTCTCAATCTAACAAAAATCTCTACTTCAAAACTAAAATCATATCAAATCTACAATTTAAACTCAAAATCTATGTATACCAGAACAGAAAGCCAAATCTGCCACTGAACTGAAACCCAGAGAGACCAGAAAAATAGTTAATAGACAGAAGCACCCACGAAATCAAAGCATCAAAAGCCCCCACAACCCATTATCTTAACCTCTTTTTCCTTCCGTTTCTCACATTTACCCATCAACACACAGTACTCCTCAAGAAAAGTCAGAAGGAAAGAAAACCCCATTTTACCTTTGAGCAAGTAAAGATCGGAGGTTGCCTTAAACAAAGGCCAACTGGATCGTTATCTTAGCACGGGCATATCAAAAAAACATCATACCTTTTTTTGTCTACCTATCTTTAGACTTTAGATCCCTTTTGTCTAATCTTGACACGGACAAAGAACATACAAGATAAGCTTCCTGAATCTGAACAATTCAAACTCTCTTCCTCTATTTCTCTCCCTGTTGTGTTCTACAACTGTATATGAACTCTTCTCATACGCGGCGGAAAAGAAAGAGACTTGGTCGTAAGCAAGACCACAACGAAAAGCATTCACGCATCACGATTGTGGATTTTATATTTGATTTAATTGACAGTATGTTTGCGCATAGCTTTGTCTGAGTTGTTTAAAATAATGGGAAAAGGAGAAGCTTCCTTGACGGTTCGAGAAGAGAACATGTGCAAAGGGTTGGTTTATTTTGGTGGGTCGCCGGCCCATGGGAAATAGAAAGACCTCACCTCACCTCACCTCACCTCACCACCAGACAGGAGCAGTACTGTAATTATATTGAAATTTTTGGGGCAATATACCTCTGCATTAATTATTATTTACTAACAGTGGACGAGATTTCCGCGGATTTTGCCTCAGCATTATTACCGTCGTTGTTTGGCCAAAATACTTGGGAAACCCTCCACTTTACTAACTATAAAACTTTCAACCCCTCACCTTTAGAAAGATATATATATGAGAAAGAATTTACTTACACATAAATTTTACATATTATATTTATATAAAATTTCACCATTCATTTATTTACTTTTAATGATTTTATTTTTTTTTACTTTAATGATTGAAATTTATCATTACTTTTTAGGTAAAAAGATAATTATTTTTAATAAATGTAGCTAATTCTCAATCATTGAAAGTAAAAGATGAATAATTAAAATTTTGTGTATGTATGAAACTTATGTATAAATGGATCTTTACTATATATATAAAGAAACCTAAAATCAACAAATGGTCAGATGTGTCATTTGCCTATTAAGACTCCACGATCGTCAACCTTTTCTATGTTAGCAACTTGCAAGCCATTTTACCTTTTTGGAATTGCCAATTGGGACAATCCTTTAATGTGATCCCAATTTCCCTAAGTTAAAACAAAAAGAACAATGAAAGAAATATAATTACATGAATACCATTATCTTCCTCCTTATCACTTCTTTCTTTTCTTGCCTAGGTAACTATGTAAGCTATTACCATCTTTTAGCGTTTCTTTCTCAATCCATATTAAAACCCCTAGATTTCATCATTGATTTATTCATAATGAAAATCAACCTTAAACTTCAATATTCTCAACCTTTATTACCAAACCCATATCAACAAACATCTTTTCCTATGCCATATTTGGCACTTTAACTCCACACCCACCAACTGTTTAACAAAATGCTTCTCCTAGCATCCATGCTCCAATTCATTGCACTTTACCTTGGCTTATGTCCACCTTTCTTTTTGTCACAAATGTTGTCATTACTATGGCTTCCTAATCGTTGCTCATGGTTCCATTATATTCTAAACCGATGATGACCCTTGGATGTCTAACTATGTGAAATTGATTTGCCAACAAATAATGCAACAAGATTCGACTATGGCACCAACCCACCTTTATAAGTTGTCTTCTTTGGTGGAAGAACCCCATCTCTTGTGCCATTGAAGCTAGTTTCCACAATTTTAGATGTATTGAGAGTGAAATTTGGGTTGAGTTTGTTTGTTGGGATATTATTAGGAAAGAAGAGAAACAATGGATTAGGAGGGAAAAATCATATATAGCATGCAACAATTGAGCAAAACTCGAATATTTGTTAGAAGACTTTGAATGATGTTAAAAGAAAGGTGTCTTAAAAGGTTTGTTGGACCAGCTTGTAACACAAAGATTAGTAACCCAATGACTTGATTCAGCCTCACCCTTGATATTTTTGCTCTTTTCTTTTTAGCTGCTACAAAATGGTAGAAGGAAAAAAGGGTGTTGAAATGAATAGAAAAGTAATTGCCATAAAAGATAACTTCACATTTGAGGTGAAAACTCAATAAGATAGTCCTGTCATAACTAAACAGAGCATGCTAAGACTAAAGGATTCACTTATAAGTAACTAGACTCTAATTAAGTGAAGAAATATCCAATTCCATCAAAATATGTCTTAAGATTGCAAAAGCTACAAAATAGGGGACAGAATGTGGTTATTAGGATATGCTAGCTGTACATTCAAATTAGTCATCACAATTGTAGAATCCACTAAAAATACATAGGTATTTTTTCTTTCTTATAAGCAAAAATATGAACAACTTACAGTATCTTAATTAAAACCTCTTCTGTGAAATTAATCATAGCAATTGCTGCTAATTTAGCTTCCCATAAAACCATAACTACAAATATACCATCTTATCTCAATAATACACCATAAAACCATAACAAAAAAATCATGCAACTATATTTGTTGTTATATTTAGAAAGAATGCTCCTAGTAGATCCTTGTAACATTAAATAGATTACTTAAAATTTACCTAGCCCCTAAAACCTTATAAATCAAATATAGAGACACGAGAAGTCATGAGATTGAACCTATATGTCTACATGAAAAGTTTGAAAAGCAAAAAGCGCATAAAACTTTCTCTAAGTCCAAACAACATAGTTAGACAAAACTTAAAAATAAATAAACACTAAATAAGTAAATCTAATCACAAATTTACATGTTGATTTTGAAGAGAAAGTAGATTGAACAACTTTGGAAAGGGAGGGAAAAGTGACTGGAAAGTAGTGTGGTTTGGAGGTGACGGTGATTAGGGAGGAAGATAATGGCATTTATGTAATTCTGCTTTTACTTTTTTCTTTAATTCAAAGAAAAACCACAAGAAATGCCCCAGTTGGTATCTCTAAGATGGTAAGGAATCGGTTGCATGGAGCTGGTATTGAAAATTATAATGATGGACACATGACAAACATGGCATTTGCGGTCAATTTTGGGCATCTTTCTTTAACTCAGAAAGGTGAAGGGCTTAAATATTCAAGTTGTAAAATGAGGGGTTGAAAGTTTTATAGTCATAAGATGGAGGGTTTCCCATGAATTTTCACTGTTTTTGTTAACCCCTTTTTTTACATAATTTATTAGTTACTATTTTTCTTTTGAAAATAAGCAATGGAATATGTTAGTTACTAGATCATGAGATTCATGTTTTTCAAGTTAGAGTGCACTTTATTGCATGATAAAAGTGTAGTATGGGCACTGAAATTACTAAAATGTCATTGTTAAGATTTGCCCTACCACCATTTAAGATGTCACGTGAACTTAACTCTAATACCATATGTAACAACCTAGGTCATTATTAATATTGTTTGCTTTGGCTCAGTGGACCTCACAGTTTTAAAACACATCACTAGAGGTTAAGTTATATACTTACCATTCTTCTATGCTTTGTTAATGTGGGCTTTTTTCTTAAAGGCATCACAAACACCCTTTTTTTCAAGACTCAATGTCCTCGCTAAAATTTGCCCCACCAAATGTTCCAAAAGTCAAATGCAATGGCTCCAATATCGTGTGTAAAGACAGAACCCACAATTGATATTATCTACTTTAGCCTATAGGACCTCAGGTCTTAAAATGCATTGATAGGGGTTGATGGGTATTGACTTATATATCTAATATCTCTGTTATGCTTTGTCAATGTGAGATTTGCCCAAGGGTATAACACCCTAAATCTCACATCAATTGCAAATTGTGAGTGAGTCTGCTACCTAAATGTAAAAACTAACCACTACTAATAACTTGAATTTGAGCTTTTAAGAACTAGTAGACCTTAGCCTAAAGAGTTGCTAGGCCAATGGTGAGCTTCAACCTTGATTGTTTCAAGGGGTGTCAAATACACTCCTCTTTCAAGATTCAACATCCTTGGGATTTGTTTAGGTGAACTAATGGAAACTATTTTTATTGTCTTTTACCATGGAAACTAATTAGTTTTGGCAACAAAAAGCTTGTCATAAGTGACAATGGGGTTTTTTTTATGATAAAGGAGTCTAAAATTAATGTATCTCTAAAACTCTTGTCATCACCAACAATTTAGGTATCTCCATTGTTGATTTTTTTTTTTTTTTTAGAGGGGTTTATGGAAGGTTTGATCTCTTTGGCTTCTTCATTTTTTAAACTATCAACTTCTATGAACAAATTTCATTAAGGGATAAGATTACAAGACCAACATTAAATCACTAAGACGTAAAGGGCAACAATTAACTTTGTCTTTTATTTTCTGTAAAGAAATTGATTAGTTGGCTTGTAAATTTTTGGATATGATTGAAATTTTGTTAATGGATCCATTTTATTTTCAATTAGTATATATATCAAAATTTTATTATTTTGTCATACCACTTAACTTGTTTTATTGTAAATTAAGCAAAGTATATCAATCCTTCTTTTGCTAGGCATATAATTCATTTCTCTATAATTTTTTGTCTTTTGTCTTATTTATTTCTCTATAATCTTTTAAATGGGATAGAGAATATTAATATTGCTAAGGTAAAAACATATAGAATTCAAGGGCAACACACATCCCAAGCTAATGTTTACTATCATATTGTCAGCCCAATATCCAAAATTTTCTTCCAAACTAGCCTAACACTGCTAGTCATCAAATAATTCATAGTTAACAAATATAAATTGAGATTCATGCCCCATGTTTGTAAATAGGATTACTTTGAAATGTAGTGGCATAAGGCTAGTCTAGATACTCATAGGATGGCTAGGCCAAGATGAGACACCATAGTATAATGTAGAAGATTAGCCAACATGCAAATCATTAACAACATAAGAGTCTCTCCAAGCCATACTAAAATTTTCCTTGTTTGTAAAATAAAATAAACACTATAAAAACATAAGGTGGGTCAAACATGCCAAAAAGAGATTGTTTTCCCAAAAATCCCTCCTTTGGCTGTTGAGTGGTAAAAGTGCTCAAGCATGCCACTTGCTTTATAGTAAAAGTAAGAAATTAACTTTCTTAACAACCTTTTTCTTCCAAGCAGTTGACCTCTATATTAGATGGCTAAAAGAACATTAATTTAATAAAGAGATACACCACAAATCAGACAATTCACTAGAATGAGGGATGCTTTCCTACACAAAAGGAGATTACAAACCTAAACATTAACTAATTGTGTGTTAGGGTTGAGGGAATGGAGGGGAGGGAATTTTCTCCTTATTTGGATAGGTTAACAAATTAAGAGAAAAAATAAAATAAAGAAAATTTTCCCTCTCATTCCCTTTGATTTTTTTGATAACCAAATAAAGAAAAAATTTTGCCCTCCTGTTCCCTTCTCGCCTCTTTTCTACCTTTCATTCCCCTCAACCCAAACATGCAATAAGAGTTATGCCAATGGACTTAAGTAAATTTGAAACATCCCTATCCTTAAATGTAAAAATATTAGAAGTTTAGTCTTCAACTATTAAAAACATTTAAGGACTTGTGGATGCTTTGGCCTTGCTTTGCTTGTTGGTTGGCGAAGCGGAAGTTCTACGTGCTCTGCTTTTAGGTGGATGAGTGACACTTTTCCTCTTGCCCAGAACTGATCTCCTTGAAGGAGCAGCTTTGTCAACTTCCTCAACAATGCCATGAGAAAAGTACAAGAACACAGAGCATTCTTCGGCACTAATTCTATTTGGTTAGGTTTCTATATGAAAGAAGAACCAAAGATTAAGACAAAGAAAGAAAGGAAAAAGAATAAGTAAAAGAATATGTTTACCCTTAGCATCATCCCTTACCTCCTGCCCAAGTTCTTCACCAGCAGCGCCAGCCTGATCATGCTCTTCCTTTGTTATGCCAGGAATGGGCAGACAGACGGGCACCCACTGTCCATTATCTTCCTTCGTTAAGACACCTTAAGAATGTTTGTTGCAGTAGCTCAAGAAAGAATTATTATTAGTAAAGAGACGTTCAACATCTCGGGAAGCGAGATCGTACTCCACCACTTCCGACAGTGATTGAATAAAAGCTTCAAACCTCTTCAACAATGCACCCCAATACTCCAACATTAGTGGTGACATGGTCAACATTCTGGCAGTGCTAAAAAACCTAAGTGTGGCAGCACCCTTGCTTTACATGGTTGTGGCAACCTCATTAATGTAGGGTCGTATGGCCTTATTCCAATTTATCTTGTTCGAAGAAGGAGTGAGAGGAATGTCCTGATCATAGTCAAATTGCCTTGCAAACCCTTTTTCGACAATAGCACTTTAAGCTCCATACCCCCTGCCATGTAATACACGGCAGCATGGATGGAATAACTACTACCAGCATTTCTAGATGACTTGAGTGTCCTATGGCAAAGTCTATAATCTGACTCCTTGGCATCGCTAGGAGTGTCTTGTCAAAGAGGCTCACTTTAGGTGGAGCAAATGTCTCGAGCATTATCTTGTATGCATGAAAATTAAAGCTGCCATAATCATCAAAAAGGCCATTAACCCCCTAGAATATTTGCCCCTTTATTTTCCTTTTTCCTATCCAAGAACAAGCCAACAAAGCTGTTCCACTAGTGTAACCACACTTCGCCATAGGGTACTCCTTCAATGCTTTCTCACTGATAATGCGGCTAGAGTGATATGGGCGAAATCTCTCCTATGCAAACATTTGCAGCAAAGACAGACAGACAGACAGACATGCAACTCAATGATGTAATAACTAGCACCAAGAATCTCATCAAGGTGAAGCAAATCAAGCATATGATCAAGCGTACCTAACATCAACAGAGCTAAAGGAAGCCTCACACCTTCAGCTAATCGAATCGCCAGAGGAATACATTTAGCCATAATCTCATGGTGTAGAAAGCCCCCGAAGACAAACTTAACCAAACTGTAAGGAAAGCTGCATGCACATACGGGCTATCTTTACCTTGGCTAGTTCGAAAGTAGCGCATCCATGTTGGAAAATCAATGTTGTCCTCTCCCCTCCATGAACGAGAAGAAGCGCTAGCATTCTTCTTCATCACCTTCTTTAAAGCTACCAGTGTGGCACGCTTCTTCAGTGTCAATGTTATGTGCCATGGATCCTTCTCCACAACAATAGGTAGCAGCATCAGGTTTGCCACGTCCTTTAAAGTCACAGTGACTTCCCCAAAAGCGAGGATGAAAGTATGAGTACTCGTGCACCATCTTCTCACCAAACGACGAAGGCACTCCACATTACCACTAATCTGTAGAGTTTGACTCAGAGTCACCAACTTAAGGATCTCAACAGCATGCAATATTTCCACAAAACCATTCTTCGCAAGCATCTCCTTAGCCCAACCCGACCAATCTTCAATCTTACCCAATAGGAAGGCAAAGTGACTTGGTATTGGCAACAAGTCTCGTCTTTCAAGCCTTGACCATATAACATCACGTGGCGAAGGGGAGGAAACCATGCTGCACTGATGTCACCCCCTTTGAAAGCCTCAAGCAAAATTAGATCTTTTTGCTTCTCAAGCGCTCTTTTCGCTAACCAAGAGTTGAATTCCAAGAAGCTGTCCTGGAAAGTATACCACGAGTTGTGGTACGACTGCACTCCGTCAATCGGATAAGGATCAGCCATCTCTAAGGCTTCCTTCGAAAGACTCAAATCAATGAAGGCATGAGAAATCTACAGCATGCAACCATAAAAAAATAAAAAATAAAAAATAAAAAAAGAAGAAGAGAAAAAAAATAGAGATTCATCATTACCTCGGTTAGAAGAAGGATTTTTCAGATTTGCACACTAGATTAACCTTCTCGAAAAGAATCTGGTTACTTTGTTGAGAAACCCAAAAGTTTCATGGAAGAAGATGATGAAAATTGGGGACGTAGAGGAGAGAGAGAAGGGTTTAGCGATTTTGCGAAAAAGGAAGAAGGGGGAAAACTGAAAGACCCACTAAGGAACAAGGAGAATGGCAGAAAGGGAAATTAAGGCAGCATTAAGTGCACCGGCCAACTAGTCTGCCACATGTCACACATCAACATGGCCAGAGATTATCAAAGGGGCGGCAAGGTGCACATTGTGTTAATGTATATGCCTATGTGTGATCTCCTTTAAAATCTCTCCTTTTTATGTGCCATCATAATGGGATTTTTAGGGAAGATTCAGTTTCTTTATTTTTCAAAAAGGGGGGGGGGTTACTTTTTCCTCTAACTGCTAAAAACTTCCTTGGGGAACAGTTGTGAATTGCTCTTCAGATCTGAACTGCACATGAACAGTGCAAAAAAAAATTTTCTATACTAGCTACTCGAAATATATTATTTTTCCAAAAAGAAAAGTGGTGCAGCTTGCACAAGATTTCTGGCAAAGATGCGACTGAAATCTTGCTCGCCAACCTTATACTTGTATCAGTCAGAGTCATTGCTGGGTACACTCTGCATCACACTCAAGTTTCCTTAGAAAATTATTTTGGTAAAATTTGCAAAGAAGGGTTAGGCCAAGCATGAGAGTAATTTTTCCTATTCAGAGTAATTCTATGAATATTTCATGGGCATCGCTCATGCTACCCATCATCTTGGCTGGTTTTGGCTCCACTCCACATGTGCTTGAGATTTGCTATTCCCAATGACTTTGAATCTCTTGACTGGAGTTTTGCTTCAACCTTGCTTAATTCTTACCCATGTTGAAACCTCGCCAGCAGCATCAAAACCAATTGCTGGAGTTTTCCCTAGCTATGTCTGATCAAGTCTGTATTAAAATTTTACTAGCAGCATCAAATTTCTTGGTTAATACTTCGACCTCATTCATCAATAACAGCCAAGTCATACTAGGCTCATCTATGCTCGTTGCTGTTCTGCATGGTTGAACTTAATATAATCTTACTTGGCTAGAACTAAGTTATTTCATCATCAGCAACTTACTTGGCTAGAACTAAGTCTGGGTAATCCTAAGTTTTTTGAATCATATCTGCTCCGACAAAAGGATTCACGTTGATTATCTGATTTTTATATTATTCCGGCATACTTTGTGATAATATGGAGAATGTTCCGGTGATTTATTTCCCTCAACGCCAAGTGGCCAAACTTGTTGCCACAACTTCATCCGCTTGGGGGGCTAATGTTGAAGGATGAATTTATATAGTTGCGTAACCAATGACGTGTGTGGGTTCACATCAGCAAAGGCCCACAATGCTTATTTTCCACATCGGACGTACAATTCCTATTTTCTACTAATTGTTGCAATGGAATCAGCATCGTCAGAAACGATACTTATTCACTTCATTGGAAATATCGCAGAATGTTGCTCACTCCAGCATCTATTTCCACATACATGGCTAGACATGGTTAGATCTATTTCGGCGACATGGCTGGGCATTTCTTGATGGTCATGTCCTCTATAGCGATATTCATCGCTATATCTTCTAGCTCCTAGCGATGGACAAAGTGCCAAATTTGCTGTCTCATTTAGCCTCCAACAATGGGCAAAAGGCTATACATTTCTACATATTTCATTACACCAGCTCTCGGCAACAGACAAAGGGTCATTAGATCTATTTCGACGACATGGCTTAGCATTTCTTGACGGTCATGTCCTCTATAACGATATTCATCATTGTATCTTCTAGCTTCTAGCGATGGACAAAGTGCCAAATTTGTTGTCTCATTTAGCCTTCAACAATGGGCAAAAGGCTACACATTTCTACATATTTCATTACACCAGCTCTCGGCAAGACAAAGGGTCAGATTTCTACATATTCTATCTCATTGGCTCTTGGAAATGGACAAAGAGTCAACGCAACTCGGTATGATTAGTGTGAGGCTGGTAACAGTTACAACCTATGATCGGATGGGATGGCTACCCTCTAGCGATAAAAATCCATCGAGTAGCCGCTGCCAGCCCGTACATGGTGGCGCGATGCTCGGTGGGCAACAACCAGGACCACCCTCTGACGATGTGGGTACGGCCAGAAAGGCCAACGTTTGTCAATGGTATTACTCTTTGTCGTATCGAATGCCATGGATGTGGCTTGTGTCCCCCTTCCATGGAGACAACTCCGCCCCTCTCTATACATATTCATCGCTATGGCGGAGTTTGGTTTAATGAGATTTACCCCTTTGCGACTTGGTGGATTA